CATCGGCCATGGGGCTAGTGCTAGGAGGACGTAGACAAGTGGTCCTTACCGGGCACATAGACGCTTCTTGGGCAGACGACGCCGAGATTCTCAGGTCCTCCCAGGGCTACTGTTTTAGCCTTGGTGCAGGTGCCATCTCGTAGAGGTCCACCCGCTCCTCGTCTGTTGCCCAGTCTAGCTGTGAGGTTGAGATCTACGCTGGTGCCATGGCGGCACAGGAGCTCCGTTGGCTGACCTTCTTGCTCACCGACCTGGGTGAGCGGCCTAGCTCTGCCCCGGTTCTGTATGCTAACAACATGGCCATGTTCCTCCTGTGCTAGGAGCCTCGACTTGAGGGCAGAGCGAAGCACATCCAGCTGCGGTACTTCCTCCTGCGCGAGCTACAGCAGCGTCACCAGGCCATTGTAGTACACTTGGCCTCCGGTGCCAACAAAGCTGATATCTTTACTAAGGCGCTTGCGCCTAAAGATCATCAGCGACACTGTGTACATCTAGGTCTCGTTCATGTAGCCTCTCACTTGCTAGGTCCCTGATTGTGTACAGACCTTTATATATATTACCATGACTGGCCTTGTGGCCTCTTCCCAGTGGCTGGACTAGTAGTGCCGCCCTGGTCTTGCTCTTGCCTTGTCTGTACTTGTTTGACTTGTCTTTAGACCCTTGCCGCAGAAGTTGGACTAGTAGGGCCACCCTGAGTTGCTTTTCTCTCACTAGGCACTGCCCCTATCCAGTCTAGGGGGTGTGTCAAACATATCTTTATATGTTGTTATAGACTATACAGGGTTGTGCCTTAGGGAGTACAACCCACTAGGTTATATTCCGTTGTATGTCTTTGTTCTAAAAATTCGTTCACTTTAACACACCTACCAGCCATCATGCTATGAATCATGCCATGCCCTACCATGCCAATGGATGCACACCTTCAGATGGACCCATGGCTGTATGGCTTGGGTCCCGACCCGACCAGGGCTGACTTTATCAGACTATTTACTCTGATTAGTCTGTAATCTCAGACCGGTTTTTTTGCTAAACCTGAATTTCCAGATAAGGCATTTTCCCAATCCTGATCGATTCAGACTTAGACTTTAGGGATCCTGAAAAAATCAGAGTTCACGCTAACCCAATACTGAGTTTTCAGAGTACATCGGGTACGAACCCTGAAACAGATTTCCACGGGGCACGCAAGATCCCTAGAAATTTCGCATGCCATCAGTGATTCCCGCCCGCGTCACGTGGAGAATCCACACTTCCTTGAAAAATCCGCCAAGTCCAATGAATACTCTGCCCACAGTGGGCACTCTGCTACCCAGCGCAGCAAAAATGCTGCCATGCCGAGCCACTAAGGACCACAGATTCTGCTCTGTTGCTCTCTGTGCATGCGCGAACTTCGGGCCCGTGCCCTCTGTGCCAGCCTTGCAGAGGTTGGCCATCATCCCCATTGGCTGCAGTTGCAGCCAACACATCGACTAGGCAGCATGGCGCTGTGTTGTGCATGGACAAGTCCCGAAACCGCGTCACGCCTTTCAAGAAAGGTGCGACACGGGTTTGATGGACCCCTTCTTCTCCAGTTGTTCCTTACCCACCAGCTTCGAACGCACTGCTTCAGGTTTTAGAGGGGAAATCCTTCATGTTGTTCATTTCGACACAGACGTAGTTGTAGTCACTGTCTTCATTTCCTACACGTCGTTTCTCCTCTCGCCATGCCTGAAAAGGATGGCGACGACGATGCTCCAGCTGACGGTGATGAGCCGCGCAGCAGTAAGGTTCCTGTCGTTGCGCCAAGGAGCGCCCTAGATGTCTTGCGGCCCGTTGCCGCATCGGCTCCTCCGCCTTTTGTCGCCACAACCGTTGTAAACGAGACCCCACGCGATGAGCCATCGTTGCCTAGTAGACCTGCCCCCGCTCCGTTCGTTCTCCCACCAGCCATAGCATCTTCTAGCAGAGGACCAGTGGATCCTATTGACTGCGCCACTGCCTCTACCGTTCGTTATAGTGTGCCCTGCGCATCGACTGTCTCTTCGGCGAAGAAACAACGTACGACGAAGTATACACAGCAGCGTATCAACTCAGGTGGCCAGATTCGCCCTCCCTCACCACCGCGCTCACCTACCCCCCTCACCCGCCCTGATGAACCGCCGCCACCGACGCTAAGTACAGAGGAATTGATCGAGCAGAAGTACCTAGTCGCGGAGGCTAAGTATAAGAATGATTGGCTGCGTTATTTCCCATGGCTTGTACTTACCCGTACTAAAGATGGCTACCCCGCTCTTAAGTGCAGCGTTTGCCGAGCCTTCGGCAAAGAAACGACGAAGTATTCAAGGCCAGGCGACGGCGGGCGAGATCTCCAGACACAGACGATGCGCATTCATGAACACTCAACAGTCCACGAAGCGGCAGTTCGCCGGCAGCTCGAGATTCAAAAGGAAATTGAAGACAAGCAGCAGAAGATGACAAGCTTCGCCACCGTCGATGTCGAAGGCCGCCGCGTCATCCGTCTTTTGCGGTGCGTGGAATTTCTTTGCAAGAACGACGCTCCTATCGCCATGTTTCCCCGGCTGCTTCGTTTCATGGCAGAGCAAGACACACCAGACATACCTCTCCAGTCGTACGGAGTGTATCTCACCAGGTAAGGCTACCTGGCTTTCGCCGGTTGATGGTTGGATTTTGATATGAACCTTGTAAATTTCAATGCATTTCCAATGCTAATTACCCAGTGTCTCACTTCTGATTATGCCACTGCAGGTACGGGTTCCAGCAGATGGTCAACTGTCTCTCTACGCATCTGCTGGCTGCTCAGATGGAGCACATCAAGAGCTCACCTTACCTCGGCATCTCATGCGATGAAAGCACCGACCGCACGCGGGGAAAGCACTTGATCGTCTACATCACATTCATGCGGCTGCGTCGAGTCGTCACCGAATTCCTAGCCCTGCTAAACGTTGACAAGTGCGACGCCGCTTCTCTTATGGCCACTCTCTTAGCCCACCTGGAGTCGTCCGGCATCGACCTCCAACGCATCGTTGGCATCAGCACAGACGGCGCGTCGGTGATGGTCGGCCGAGACAACGGGCTTGTGGCGCGACTGCGAGACATCATCCCGCACCTTTTTTCCTCCCACTGCATCGCCCACAGGTTTGTTAAAGTATTCCTTGCTGTCTGTTTATGCTTCTTATGTTTCTGTGTGCTAACCACTACCCATGTCGGTACATGCAGAGAAGCACTTGCTGTGAAGGATGCTGCCGCTTCATGTCCAGACCTCGACATGGTCGACAAAGTCACTCGCACCCTTGCGGACCTTCTCGGCCGGTCGAGCGTATGGAGCAGTCGTTTCAAGCATCTGCAGCGGGCGATTCACAGCACCAACCTTGAGGTTCAAGGCATCCATCAAGTTCGATGGTTGTCCAGGGGAGAGGCAATCCGACGCCTGTGTAAAGTGTTGGGTGCTGCGATTGTTCTGCTGTATGAGTATGAGCATCCCCTGTATGAGGTTGTCATTTCGTATAAGTTTCAGTTTTGCCTCTTCTACCTGGCCGACATGCTGGCACTCATGAACGACCTCAACCTCAAGTTTCAGAAGTGAGAGGTAAGATGCTCATGTTTGCAAGCATGGTGTTCTCCTCTGGTGCAAGTACTCATGTCTTTCACTCCTCTGTGTCCCCCCCCCCTCACACCGCAGGTCGATGTCACAGAGGTGGCAACGGACATCGACGCGACACTGGGGGATCTGCGGCACCGCTATGTCGACTTCGGGGAGATTTTCGGTGTCGGCGCCGAAAACACCTGGCTCTCGGCGTTCCTCGCGGTGTACGGGCGCGGCGGAACGAAGCGGGTGAAGGTGCGCGGTATCGACTTGGAGGGGAACCCCGTCACCCATACGTACAAGATGCACGAGCGGCACCTCGACAAGCACCAGTACGGGAGCAGCTACAAGGACTGCGTGCAGCTGTGCCAGAAGCACGCCAAGGATACCATGACCAACGTACAGGAGCGGATGCTGGATCTGCGCAAGATGTCGCCGACGAAGCTCTGGGTGGCGGCGAAGTGGCCGAGACAACGGGCGCAGCGCGAGAAGAAGACGAGAGAGTATCTGCTTGGATGCAGCGGAATCTTCGAGCACAAGCTGCCAGGCTTCGACGTGAAGGCAGCGGAGAGGGAGCTCGCAACTTGGGCGCCGATCATGCAGAATCATCACGAGGTGGAGAGTTTCTACCAAGGCCTGGCAAACTACCTCACGAAGACGGACTCGAGCAGGCAAGTCCAACCATATTGTCGTTTCTGAATCACCACCTTCCATTCTACTTGCCAAGTGTGCACAACATCGCCGCCCTTGCCAACCGCATCTTTGTGTTATCCGCCTTCACTGTATGCATTTCCTACTGCCTTTCTTCCGCCTCTGTTTCTGTGCCCCGTGTCAGGCGCTGGCCCAATCTGATGCGCCTCTGGCAGGCCTGCGCCGTGCTGCCTTTGTCAACCGTCGAATGTGAGAGGGGCTTCTCTCGGCAGAATGTGATTAAGTCCTGGGTCCGTGGCTCACTCTGCAACGCGCGCCTCTCCGAGTTGATGGCCATCTCGCTGCTGCAGTATGACATCAATTGGACCGAAGCCCTAGCGACCTGGCGAGAGAAGCTGAGACGGCCAGCACGATCTGTTGTCTTCGCAAGAGCGGAACGAAAACGCAAGGGGAAGGCCCTAGAGGGTGAGGTGGCGGGGGACACAACGGATGGACAGGGGGAGGTGCCAGAGTACGCGGGGGAGGGGTGGGCTGGGGAGGATGGGGGTGATGATGAGAATGATGCGGCTCCAACATTAGGCGACGACCCTTTCCTGTCCGACGATGAGGGGGGTGATGATGAGATTACTGTAGATGTGCCGGAGTTCTAGGTGCCTGTTAGCTAGTGGTGATTGCTTGGTTTGGTAGTAGTAGTTGTAGATAGGCTCCTGTCCAATGTAGCAAAATGTAATACACAAGAATAGCTTTTCTTAATAACATAAAATGTAACCCTGAGTACATTTGCGCGATCCTGAGAATTTCAGAGTTGCACATCTCTGGACTCTGACATTTCAGAGTCCCTAAATTCTGGCTGAAGGCCATTCAGACTATTTTTTTTTTGGGGGGGGTCAGCTCAGAGTGCCTTTTTTTGAAACGTCAGCCCTGGACCCGACTCCCGACTCCCTCCCATCCTATCCTATGCTCTTGTACCCGCCCCTTGGTCCAGGTTGTTGGTAATGTGTTCTCATACAATGCTGTCCCCTCTAGGTACAGTATACGGTGTAGGTTCATCACACTTAAGTTGTAATGGGAGGCTGCTGTGCCGAGGCAGCACAAGTCTTTCAGTAAGAAGCAGCTTCCATTCCATACCGTACCATTCTGTGGTAGCTGAGCTGACTTGTGAGTCGACTCAAAAGTTCCCTGGTAGCTAATCCAAACTGAAGAAAACACTGCTGGGAATAGAGGCGGATATTTCATTCATGGAAATGCGTCCCCAGACATCCCAGTGCATTGCTTTCCCTTTGGCAAACTCCCAGAAATATTCGACACCTGCCCCCCAACAACACCACTACACTTCCACGCTTTCCCCGGCCGCCCTTTCTCACTCAACGTCACATCCGCATTTGATATAGTCACCCCCTTTATAGGCTGCTCCTCTAAGCCCTCTATCTTCACCACCCGATCCACGTTCTTCCCTATCAGTCCATGTACAGTAATGTCTTCAATTATTGGCAGTGCATGCGGGTCAAACCCCGGAGGATCCCCGTGACCAAAGAAAGATGTGATTGTAAACGCCACTTTCACGTCCTGTACGTAAGTGCGAATGAATGAAACGCTGTAGAAAGCAGGGGGGACGGGAAGGGGACAGCTGGAGAAAGAAGTGATTGTAAAAGCCACTTTCACATCCTGTGCTTAGGTGCGAATGAATGAAACGATGTAGATGGGAAGCAAAGGAGTGGTGAGGGAAGGGAGACGAAGGCAGGGGAAGATAACTAGAATGCAAGGGGAAAGCATGTAAATCGCTACTCTGCGAACAATTTTGATGTTGGGAAGGAGAGCATTGAGGCATAGAGGTAAGGTGCATGATGCATGCGTACGACATGGTGCATGCATACGACATGATGCATGCGTACGACATGATGCATGCGTACGACATGATGCATGCGTACGACATGATGCATGCGTACGACATGATGCATGCGTACGACATGATGCATGTGTACGACATGATGCATGCGTACGACATGATGCATGCGTACGACAAGATGCATGCATACGACATGATGCATGCGTACGACATGATGCATGTGTACGACATGATGCATGTGTATGACATGATGCAAGCGTACGACATGATGCATGCGTACAACATGATGCATGCGTATGACATGATGCATGCGTACGACATGATGCATGGGTATGACATGATGCACGTGTACGACATGATGCATGTGTATGACATGATGCATGCGTACGACATGATGCATGCGTACGACATGATGCATGCGTACGACACGATGCATGTGTATGACATGATGCATGTGTATGACATGATGCATGTGTATGACATGATGCATGTGTATGACATGATACATCGGACCAACATGGTGTCCTACACCAACAATCAAGGGTGCCCAGACTAATTTCCTCACTAACCCGTGGAGGCAAACAGCAGATATGATTTTCAAGAAACCTTCCTTGAGGAGTGGTATGTAACTCACTTCCTGACGAACCCGCCCCGCCCCGCGGCAGATTTGATTCGGATGCCGACGTCAGCGCCGAGAACACGGCAGTCCTCGAATCTCACTCCCTGCACGCCGCCACTCATCTCGCTGCCGATCGACAGACCCACGCTGCCGCTGCCTGGCGGTACCTGCTCATGGCATGTGTGCATGCATGCATGCATCTCCATGTGTGGATGCATGGATGTGCATGTGTGCATGCACGCATGTGCATGTGTGGATGCATGGATGTGCATGTGTGGATGCATGCATGCGCATGTGTGGATGCATGCATTCGCATGTGTGGATGCATGCATGCGCATGTGTGGATGCATGCATGCGCATGCGAGGATGCATGCATGCGCATGTGTGGATGCATGCATGCGCATGTGTGGATGCATGTGCATGCGTGGATGCATGCATGTGAATGTGTGGATGCATGCATGTGCATGTGTGTGGATGCATGCATGTGCATGTGTGGATGCATGCATGTGCATGTGTGTGGATGCATGCATGTGCATGTGTGTGGATGCATGCATGTGCATGTGTGGATGCATGCATGTGCATGTGTGTGGATGCATGCATGTGCATGTGTGGATGCATGCATGTGCATGTGTGGATGCATGCATGTGCATGTGTGGATGCATGCATGCGCATGTGTGGATGCATGCATTCGCATGTGTGGATGCATGCATGCGCATGTGTGGATGCATGCATGCGCATGCGAGGATGCATGCATGCGCATGTGTGGATGCATGTGCATGCGTGGATGCATGCATGTGAATGTGTGGATGCATGCATGTGCATGTGTGGATGCATGCATGTGCATGTGTGGATGCAAGGTGCATGTGTGTACGAGGGAGGAGAATCAGCACCAAGAACCCAGCAGTCCTTGAACCTCACTCCCTGCACGACCCCACTGATCGCCCCGAGACGTCTCAAAACTGTTCACCTTCTTAACACCTGTGTGTTATGAGTATTTTTTAGTCGACTAAAAAAAACCTGGGCACCTGAACAGTGACTAGGGCACGGAGATGCCAGCAGACAGTGCAGGTACTGGTCCCAGCCGCCCTTGGCAGAGAGGGGGAGACAGAGAGACAGGATATCTGCATACGGCGCAGGGGGGTGGGCGTTGTACCCCGTACTGGTCCCAGGAGCTCTTTGATGCAAATTGGAAAGAGAGACAGAAACACACACCCACACACCTCAACAGTCACTCGGCGCACAGTGATGTCAGCAGAGGGCGCAGGGGGGTGGGCGTTGTACCCATACTGGTCCCAGCCGCTCTTTATAGCCACGGCATCATCTCCCGTGCTGATGTGGCAGTCCTCAATAAGCACATGTGTGCTGGAGTCTGCATGGGGAGGGGGGAGATAGGGGGTCAAGTCAAGCATTGTAACTGCTTCTTCAAATCACGGCATCATCCCCCGGGCTGCCGATGTGGCGGTCCCCTATAAGCACGTGCGTGCTGGAGTGTGTTAAGGAATGGGGGGAATCAGGAAAGGACACAGGGGAGTAAGCATTGCCTGCTGTTTAGAAACATGGCATCACCCCCCCCAGTCGTGCTGTTTAGAAACATGGCATCACCCCCCCCCAGTTGTGCTGTTTAGAAACACGGTATCATCCCCCCCCCAGTCCTCTATAGGCACTTGCGCGCTGGAGTCTGGACAAAAGGGCGGACACGAGAAAGTCAAGGGAGACGAATGCGAGGATGAATGTGTAATCACCACCTCACCATCTCACCACCTCACCATCTCACCACCTCACCATCTCACCATCTCACTGAATCATCCTGTGTGCAGACGGTGAGATGGTGAGATGGTGAGTTGGGTGAGATGGTGAGTTGGTGAGATGGTGAGTTGGTGAGATGGTGAGTTGGTGAGATGGTGAGTTGGTGAGTTGGTGAGATGGTGAGATGGTGAGTTGGTGAGATGGTGAGTTGGTGAGTTGGTGAGTTGGTGAGTTGGTGAGTTGGTGAGATGGTGAGATGGTGAGATGGTGGGATGGCGGAAGGAGAGGCAGAAGGAGAAGAGGGGAGAGGAGAGGATAGACGAGGATAGGAGGGGAGGAGAGCCAAGGAACTAGATAGTTACCGGGGTCGATGCCATCTGTCTGCTGCACATTGGTTGGAGCAGAAACAACAAGATGGTGGAAGGAGATGGAGGAGGGGAGGGGGACGGAGGGGAGAGGGCAGACAAGGGGCTGGGTAGTTACCAGGGTCGATGCCATCTGTTTGCCGCACATTCGTTGGAGCGGAGATGGTGAGATGGCGGAAGGAGAGGCGGGAGGAGTAGAGAGGGCGGATGAACCAGAAGGGCGCGTTGAGCAGCGTCAAATTGGAGACTGCCACGTGGCAGCTGCTCTGGATCTCGATCACGTGAGGCCGCATGTGGTGCAGGCTCTTTCTGTCCATGGCGTCCCACCAGGGCCTGCCGCTGCCATCTATGGTCGCGTGCTCCCCTGCACAAGGTGGGTGTGAAAGGGGTGCCAGCAACCAAAGATACACGAAAGAGGTCGCATGTGGTGCAGGCTCTTTCTGTCCATTGGTTCCAATCCAGCTTCGCATGTGGTGCAGGCACTGCAGGAATGCCATTACCGTCTACTGTTCCGTTATCACCTGCAAAAAGGTGTGAAAAAACAGATGTGAATGAGAGGTACGGAAGGGACAGAAAGAGGTCTCATGTGGTGCAGGTTCTTTCCTTTCACTTTAGCTTCCCACCACGGATCACCCTTGCCGTCAGTCGCCCCATTCTCTCCTCAAGAAGGCATAGACGAACAAGACGAACGAGATGAATTAGGTCGCATGTGGTGCAGGCTCTTTCTGTCCATGGCTTCCCACCCAGCAAGGCATGCCGTTGCCATCGGTTGTTGCGTTCTCTCCTGCAGAATATGTGACAAGGGACGAAAGCGACAGAAACAGGTCGCATGTGGTGCAGGTTTTTTTTTAGTTTTGAGGCGCCTCAAAACGAAAGCGACAGAGAGAGGTCGCATGTGGTGCAGGTATTTCCAGTCCACGGCCTCCCGCCAGGGCCTGTCATTACCGTCAATCGACCCGTTCTCCCCTGCACCAGATAGAGCTGAACGAGAGAAGGTAGGGTAAGGAGTGAACAGACCTTCTCTGTTTATTGCCATCCCCTACCATCAGAAGCTAACAGCCTGCCGTCTTCTGATGCGTGCTCTTTCCCTCTCTTCTTCTGGCACAAGCTTTTGAGTCGACTCAAAAGCAGCTAAGCCTTGGCGTTCTGATTCCTGTGAAGCTGATAGTTTCAGTGCTCCGTCTGTTGCGTACTCCTGTTGTTCTGTTGCGTACTCCTGTTGTTCTGTTGCGTACTCCTGTTGTTCTGTTGCGTACTCCTCCACCATTTCAGGCGGAGATCACCCGCTTTGAAAGAACAACAGCATCTGGAGCACAACCATGGTCCATGGACCACCACAAACCAACCACCCACACACTGACCCGTTATAAGCACATCTGTGACGTTGTAAGCGAGTATGAGGCTGTGATGACGTGGACCAGGCCCCAACTCCCGGCCAGGCCCGTATGTAGGTGGCTGGGGCACAAAAGGGTAGTCTTGCATTTGCTGCAGGGAGGAAGAGGGAAGGGGAAGGAGAAGGGGGAAGGAGAAGGGGGAAGGAGAAGGGGGAAGGAGAAGGGGGAAGGAGACGGGGGAAGGAGAAGGGGGAAGGAGAAGGGGAAGGAGAAGGGGGAAGGAGAAGGGGGAAGGAGAAGGGGGAAGGAGAAGGGGGAAGGAGAAGGGGGAAGGAGAAGGGGGAGGAACGCCTTCTTATATCTTCTGGAGGGTATGTGGTGGACTGGAGGCGCAATGCGGTGAAGTGCGGTGGAAATACTCACAGGGCTGGCATGAATAGTCAGCAGAGTCATGTGGCTGGTGAGGTCGAGCAAGGTGTGGTGTGGTGTTATGCGGTGCAGTGAGGTGCAGTGACTTACAGGGCTAGCCAGTATAGTAGCGCCTTGTTCCAGAAACAGAGTCATGTGGCTAGTGAGGTTGAAAGGACCGGTCAGCCAGGTGCCACGTGGCACCACCAGCGTGGCACCCACTGCCACGTCAGTGTCACCTCCAACCTCCACTGCTTGGGCGGCGACCAGCGACTGTACCTCGCTGATAGCTGCTCGGAACGCTGCAGTGCTGTCGGTGGTGCCGTCCGGTACTGCTTTGAAAGATGCGAGGTTTAGGCTGAATGGAGGGAGTGGGGAAGAGTGGAGAGGCGTGGGAAACGGTGAATCATGGAGGGCGTGTGACTGCTTCTGAACGCTGCAGTGCTGTCGGTGGTGCCGCCGTCCGGCACTGCATTGAAGGATGAGAGGCTCAGGCTTTGGGGGACGGGGAGGGGGGGGAAGGCATGGGAGAGATTAGGGCGATGTGATGTGATGTGGGAGTCTGGGAGACAGGGAGATGAAGCGGATGCGAGAGACATGAGTCCAAACGCTGCATTGCTGTGAGTGGTGCCGTCTGGTGCGGCTTTAAAAGATGAGAGGCCGAGGGAGCATTTGAGAATTCTAAAAAACCTATCAATGCTGACAGTGGAGCCGTTTGGTGCGGCTGTAAAAGATGAGAGGTTGAGGGTGGATGGAGGGAGAGGAGGGAGTGGAGAGGGCATGGGAGACAGGGGATTGAGGAAAAAGGGAGGGAAGCCGAGAGGAGAGGGAATGAGTCTGAGGTGCTGTCGGGCAGCATGGAAGCATGAGGGGTGAGGCTGGGTGGAGCAAGTGAGGCTGAGCTGGACTAAAGTGAGGCAGATTAACTCACGTGTGTGCTCTACGGTGGATCACCGGCGCGTTCCCCGCAGCTTCCGTGCATTTCGGGATGAAAACGGACACGCGATTGGATCCTAGCCGTTGATCCGACTGCCGATCAGAACCGTCACTCGTGGACTGGGACGAGGACTCGGTGTCAGTCGATCCGTACGACACAGACTGTTCCGTACGACTGATTCCTTCCGTCGTTACACTGACTGTACGGCCCAGTTTACTTCCTTCGAGGTTACCGCCGAAACGGACGGCTCGATTCACGGCATAAGGTGTCACAGCAGTTGACAAGGGTTTCGTGGGAAGATCTAAACTGGCTGGATTCGAAGCTGACGTGGCAGATTCGTGGCTGTGAATGGGAGGGAGAGAGGAGAACGACACGGGACCGAGAATGACAAGGGCGGCGAGCGACGCGAGTGCGACGATCCAACGCGACGATCTTTGCGACAGAGCCGTCATCGCGCACGTGTCGGGTTCCTGGACCGCGTCGTGCGCTACGCCGTCGGATTGCTCGTGGGACGTGGCTGGAGCACGCATCCAACCGTCCGTTTCATGCCTCATCAAGTCGGAGCCTTCGATTCAATTCCCTCACAACAAGGAATTCGATGTAATTCCGAATTTCAATCTTCGAATGTGACAACTGATGTTATGATATAGGAAGTGTCAATGAACTATAATGTGAGAATACAAGGTCGCTATAACAATGAAGGCACGAGGTTATTTAGGAGTTGGCATGGTAGGGCGATAACCTCGGAACGTGGGTAGGTTAGGCAATGCGGTGACAGTGCCGGACGCGACTCGGAAAAGGGTTGGGCCGACAAATGAGGCCGAACGTGACGAGTCGAGGAGTTCGGGTGTACGCACTAGCGTACGACTCAGTGAGGAATGGAAATTCCTTACACTACCCCCCCCCCCACCCCCCCCCCCCCCCCTCCTAAAACGAGGCCCCGGGCATCGGAAACATTCCAACGCTGATAATACGCTGTTAGAATCGGAAGTGATTCTATGTTAGCGAAGGGCACCCAGCTGTCATCCTCAGACGTCCGATCGTGCCATCTGATGAGAAAATCTACCATTCAATGGTTCTGCTGCGTTGTGACTCGATGGCCGAGAATCTTCAAGGGCTCGGTCGTCGGTTCCTGCAGTGACGTTAGCTGCGGTGCGATACGTTGACGGGCCAAATCCGACGAATTGGGGACGTTTGGTCGAAGTAGGCTGACGTGGAAGCCGGGTGGTGATGCCAATCCACTGGTAGTCGAAGGCGAGCGGTGACAGGTGTCACCATATTGGTAACTTGAAAAGGACCACAGAATCAGGGTCGGAGTTTGCTCGGGATCGGCAGACGCAAATTGCGAGTGTCGAGTAGTACGAGGTCTCCCACTTTGTAAGTGACGTCACGCCGATGACGATCGGCTTGTCGACAATCCCCAAGTGCACACCCCATCTTCCAGAAGCCTCCAACTTCCCCCTTTTCTCCTTACGCACATGAAATACCACCATGCACCCAAATGCCCTCAGCATGTTCACAGCTGGAGCACTCCCATACCACTTGGTATATGGGATCCACTCCTTATCCCCAACTGTAGCCAACACCCTGTTCTTCACAAGGGTGACCTGCCTCAGTGCAGACATCCAAAACGGATCAGGCAACCCTGCACGCCCAAGGAGAGTGCGTGCCCCCTCCTGCAGGGTCCTGTTGAACCTCTCAGCGATGCCATTCTGCTGCGGGTTGTAGGGCACTGTCAGTTGATGTTGGATCCCCTTCCTCTTCAAATCCCCCTCAAAATCAGCTCCAGTGAACTCCCCACCATTGTCACTGCGGATCACCTTCACCTTGTGTCCGCATGCCCTCTGAGCTCTAGGCATCCACTCCTTAAGGACAGCCGCTGCCACCTCCCCCTTGCTCTTCAAAGGGTAAACCCACACTGCGCGAGTGTGGTCATCCACAATTGTCAAAAAATATCGGCTGCTTGAGAGGGAAGGGGCTCTTGTGGGCCCCACCACATCCATGTGCACAAGTGCAAGCGGGGACTTGGCTGGTCCTGTAGTGCTGTTGAAGGGGAACTTGGAGAACTTGGTCTCCAAGCATGTAGGGCAGCTCCCAATCTCCTTCACTCCCCCTTTCACCTCCAAGCCCTTCAGGCTCCCATCCTTCACCAACTTCTGCAGCATAGGGAAGTTCACATGACACAGCCTCTCATGCCATGTCTCCCAATCGGCCTCACCACTCCTTGATGAAGCCTTAGCCCATGTCGCACTCGCATCCACAGCCGCAAGCACCTCGCCATCTGTCTGCTGCTGCTGCACTTTCTTGACTGCTTCCAGGACCCCATCAGTTGGTGCAGTTGCATCTCCTCCAGCTGATGCCTTTGCCGCTGTTGCCGTTGCTGCTGTTGAAGTCTTCCCACTCCAAGGGATGATGGGCAGCTGCCACAGATCCTTGATCCAGCTGATCTCTTCTTCGAGAATCCACAGCACCTTCTTCCCAAGCTTAGCACGATAGCTGGTTGGTCCAAAGGTCACTTCGGCCTTGCTCTTCTGCAGTCGCCGCACAGAGAGAAGGTTAGCAGACAAACCTTCAACCAGCAGACTATTCCCAAGCCCCACAAGCTCCCCATTAGCTCCCTTAACCTTGGCATTCCCAACACCAATCACAGGGAGCAAAGCACCTGACGCTGCTGCCACATACTTAATCTTCCCAAGGGGTTTTACCTCATCAAGCAAATCTGCCCGTGGGGTCATGTGACTGGTGCAACCTGAATCAATCACCCAGTGCGTGAGAGGGTGCATCACAACCTTTCCCACAGATCCCACATCACCCTCATGCCCATGCACATCCTCAACCGTGAGAAACATCCCAGGATAGGTATTACCTTGTGCACTTGAGCCTTGTGCACCTGAGCCTTGCACAGCGCCACCTTGTGTGCGTTCACCACTGGGCGGCTTCATACCTGGAGGTGCCCATCCCTCCGGCCTGCTGAAGCACTTGAACCAAGGATGCCCGACCTTCTTGCAGTACCAGCAGGTGCCCTCCATTCTGGTACTCCCCCTGCCACTAGAGCTCCCATGCCCCTCATTATAGTCACCTCGGCCTCTACCTCTGCCAAAGCTCCTCCCACGGCCTCGGCCTCTCCAACCCCCTCTTCCTCTGCCGCGCCCTGCAGCTCCATACCCCTCAGTAGTCTTGGTGGAAGCACCACCTCCCACATGGCGTCTACGGAAGTCCTCCTGCAGAATCTGCTGCCTTAGCCACTCAGATGTCCATTGATCTTGCTGAGAGTTGAGGGTGGGGATGAGGTTGTCCCAAGAGTTGTCCAACACCGAGATGATCTTGGTGCACTGCTGCAGCTGAGATACACTGCTGCCCGCTGCTGCCATCCTTGCATAGGTGTCCTTGATCTTGTCAAAGACCGGCTTCACATCGTCCCCTTGTCGCATGGAGATGGCAGCAAGTTCCTTCTCGAGCACGATCACCATTGGGAGAGTGTTGGGCCGAATCACATCGCGTAGTAGTTTCCACGCCCTTGGACCCGAATCATCCGCTTCCACAAGATCCTTGATGTGCTCGAACATCTCCTTGTTGACCGATTGAAGGATGAGGTCGAAAAGCACCGCGCTTTTCTCAATCCACCGTTCACGTGCTTCGCCTTCTTCCGGCATCTTCTCCTCTCCAACAGCAATCTTCAGTAGCTTGTAGCGTTTGAAGGCACTCCTCATCCGCCCGCTCCATTCCTCATAGTTGGAGCCATCCAAAGCTTCAACTTTTGATGGCGGCGGCTCACTTGTCTTCTCAGGTACAGCTCCTCTTCCATTAGCATCTCCTCCTCTCTCATTTATCTTCTCCTTGAGAAATGACGAATTTCAGCTCCCCTTTGCTGTCCACACTCAGCTCCCTCGATATTTTCACAAGTGTCGGCGTCCACGAAATTTCGGCAGAGTTTCCCCTTAGCGGAAGACACATCCAACCTTTAGAACACCACTTAGGCACACCCACAGGCCATGGTGGGTCTAGAAGGGTCTTCAAACTTCTGTAGACTCCTCTTAATGTCCTCAATATCGCTCTGATACCACTTGACATAGGATTAAGGACGGAGTCTAGGTGAACTTAGGAGCTAGAATTACTCAAAATATAAATCCGAAATTCTGGACAGAAAAGTCGTCTTCACAAGAAACGACGTCGACGAAAAACTAGCCGTTGGAATGTCGCGAAAGTCGGATATGTTGTAGCTTGTAATCTTAGCTACCGTTTTCAATTTAAATCACGTCGATTAATGGAGTAATCGCGACGCTATTTCTTTTGACGCACTGGGGGGTAAGCTGTAGGATGAGAACTTAACTCAATCTCAAAAGTTCAATCAAAGTTCAAGAATCTCACAAGGAATTAGAGGAGCAAGAGAAAGGTTGGGATGGAAGAGAGGGATGAGAGGGAATGTCCTAAGAGAGTCCCCAACCAAGGAAACCCCATAAGCACAAAGATTCCTCCCCCATAGGAACCCCAACTTTGACATTTGTCCCTTCCCAACCAATCCAACCAAGTTGGCCACCCTTGCCAACCTAGCTTGGTTGTTCCCAACCAATTTGCAGCTGCTACAGTAGAGTGACGAATTTCCCCAACCCTCAAAGGTCCCATCTCCATAGTGAGTCACCCCACAACTTCACTTTGTAACCGTCGCAATTGTAACGCAAGCTCATGAACTTTGAATCTTCATAGCTTTCGCGTTCTTGCTCCGATTGAAGTGATTCTCGTTGCGTCGGAAAGATCTTCTCAAGATCTATCATCACAAATACATGCTCAAACAAAAATAACACAGAACACATTCCCAAACTCCATAACAGACCACACATAAATGCTTGCACACATTCAAACCACACATGCAATTTGAAAAACATGGGATGGGAGGCAGACAGAATGTGATAGCATATGATGACATCACACAACAATCTCCCCCTTTGGCTGCCAACCATCAACCACCATACCAACATCTCAAGCATGCATACTCAATGCACACTCATCCCAGCGAGCTTCATGCTCTTCCAATGATCCGCCTCCGCGAGACGCTTAGTGAAAATATCTGCTGCTTGCTGATGGGTCTTCACTATCTCCAGCCGCACCTCCTTATCAAGGAGTCTCCTCACCCAATGCCACTTAGGCCTTATGTGTTTTGTCAGCCCATGCAGACAAGCATTCTTGGCCAGCTCCACTTCAGACTCATCGTCACAGAACACAACTGTCGGCTCCTCCTGACCAACTCCCAACTCCTCCAACAAGCGCCTCAGCCACACCACTTCCTTGGCCCCATGATGTAAGGCCATATACTCAGTCTCACATGAGGACAATCCCACCTCATTCTATTTCTTGCTACGCCAGCTTACAGCACCACCTCCTAGCAAGCACACATAACCCCCAATGCTGGTGCCATCCGCTTTCACTAAGTTGAAGCTAGCATCAGTACCTTGGGTTGAGGAATTGCAGCCCTATAGCACAATGCAATCTCATCTTCCTCAATCTGCTCAACCACACTCCCAGCCTGCACCACATTCGGCTTGCCTCTTCCCCCATAGGTCAGCCTCACCGGAGGGCGCACATCCCTCCTAGGTCGCTCAGGCGGGTGTGGAACTCGAGGTGGAGACTCATGCTGCTGCTGCTGCTGCTCCACTTCAGCTGCTCCCCCTTCCTCAGTCACCCCAGACATCTCCTCCTCAGACACAGCAACCTCAACCTGTCTTGAAGGCCGCTGCACCTCATCTGCCTCCACAATGAGCGGTGTAGATGGAAGCTTCTGTTGCTTTTGCTTCCATTCCTTGTAGTACAAGGACTCAAGAAACTTCACATCCCTTGACACTGTCAGCTTCTGGGTGGTCAAGTCCCATAGCAGCCACCCCTTGTGATCCTTTGCAATCCCCAAGTGCACACCCCATCTTCCAGAAGCCTCCAACTTCCCCCTTTTCTCCTTAGGCACATGAAATACCACCATGCACCCAAATGCCCTCAGCATGTTCACAGCTGGAGCACTCCCATACCACTTGGTATATGGGATCCACTCCTTATCCCCAACTGTAGCCAGCACCCTGTACTTCACAAGGGCAACCTGCCTCAGTGCAGACACCCAAAACGGATCAGGCAACCCTGCACGCCCAAGGAGAGTGCGTGCCCCCTCCTGCAGGGTCCTGTTGAACCTCTCAGCGACGCCATTCTGCTGCGGGTTGTAGGGCAGTGTCAGTTGATGTTGGATCCCCTTCCTCTTCAAATCCCCCTCAAAATCAGCTCCAGTGAACTCCCCACCATTGTCACTGCGGATCACCTTCACCTTGTGTCCGCATGCCCTCTGAGCTCTAGGCATCCACTCCTTAAGGACAGCCGCTGCCACCTCCCCCTTGCTCTTCAAAGGGTAAACCCACACTGCCCGAGTGTGGTCATCCACAATTGTCAAGAAATAGCGGCTGCCTGAGAGGGAAGGGGCTCTTGTGGGCCCCACCACATCCATGTGCACAAGTGCAAGCGGGGACTTGGCTGGTCCTGTAGTGCTGTTGAAGGGGAACTTGAAGAACTTGGTCTCCAAGCATGTAGGGCAGCTCCCAATCTCCTTCACTCCCCCTTTCACCTCCAAGCCCTTCAGGCTCCCATCCTTCACCAACTTCTGCAGCATAGGGAAGTTCACATGACACAGCCTCTCATGCCATGTCTCCCAATCGGCCTCACCACTCCTTGATGAAGCCTTAGCCCATGTCGCACTCGCATCCACAGCCGCAAGCACCTCGCCATCTGTCTGCTGCTGCTGCACTTTCTTGACTGCTTCCAGGACCCCATCAGTTGGTGCAGTTGCATCTCCTCCAGCTGATGCCTTTGCCGCTGCTGCCGTTGCTGCTGTTGAAGTCTTCCCACTCCAAGGGATGATGGGCAGCTGCCACAGATCCTTGATGCAGCTGGTCTCTTCTTCGAGAATCCACAGCACCTTCTTCCCAAGCTTAGCACGATAGCTGGTTGGTCCAAAGGTCACTTCGGCCTTGCTCTTCTGCAGTCGCCGCACAGAGAGAAGGTTAGCAGACAAACCTTCAACCAGCAGAACATTCCCAAGCCCCACAAGCTCCCCATTAGCTCCCTTAACCTTGGCATTCCCAACACCAATCACAGGGAGCAAAGCACCTGACGCTGCTGCCACATACTTAATCTTCCCAAGGGGTTTTACCTCATCAAGCAAATCTGCCCGTGGGGTCATGTGACTGGTGCAACCTGAATCAATCACCCAGTGCGTGAGAGGGTGCATCACAACCTTTCCCACAGATCCCACATCACCCTCATGCCCATGCACATCCTCAACCGTGAGAAACATCCCAGGATAGGTATTACCTTGTGCACTTGAGCCTTGTGCACCTGAGCCTTGCACAGCGCCACCTTGTGTGCGTTCACCACTGGGCGGCTTCATACCTGGAGGTGCCCATCCCTCCGGCTTGCTCAAGCACTTGAACCAAGGATGCCCGACCTTCTTGCAGTACCAGCAGGTGCCCTCCATTCTGGTACTCCCCCTGCCACTAGAGCTCCCATGCCCCTCATTATAGTCACCTCGGCCTCTACCTCTGCCAAAGCTCCTCCCACGGCCTCGGCCTCTCCAACCCCCTCTTCCTCTGCCGCGCCCTGCAGCTCCATACCCCTCAGTAGTCTTGGTGGAAGCACCACCTCCCACATGGCGTCTACGGAAGTCCTCTTGCAGAATCTGCTGCCTTAGCCACTCAGATGTCCATTGATCTTGCTGAGAGTTGAGGGTGGGGATGAGGTTGTCCCAAGAGTTGTCCAACACCGAGATGATCTTGGTGCACTGCTGCAGCTGAGATACACTGCTGCCCGCTGCTGCCATCCTTGCATAGGTGTCCTTGATCTTGTCAAAGACCGGCTTCACATCGTCCCCTTGTCGCATGGAGATGGCAGCAAGTTCCTTCTCGAGCACGATCACCATTGGGAGAGTGTTGGGCCGAATCACATCGCGTAGTAGTTTCCACGCCCTTGGACCCGAATCATCCGCTTCCACAAGATCCTTGATGTGCTCGAACATCTCCTTGTTGACCGATTGAAGGATGAGGTCGAAAAGCACCGCGCTTTTCTCAATCCACCGTTCACGTGCTTCGCCTTCTTCCGGCATCTTCTCCTCTCCAACAACAATCTTCAGTAGCTTGTAGCGTTTGAAGGCACTCCTCATCCGCCCGCTCCATTCCTCATAGTTGGAGCCATCCAAAGCTTCAACTTTTGATGGCGGCGGCTCACTTGTCTTCTCAGGTACAGCTCCTCTTCCATTAGCATCTCCTCCTCTCTCATTTATCTTCTCCTTGAGAAATGACGAATTTCAGCTCCCCTTTGCTGTCCACACTCAGCTCCCTCGATATTTTCACAAGTGTTGGCGTCCACGAAATTTCGGCAGAGTTTCCCCTTAGCGGAAGACACATCCAACCTTTAGAACACCACTTAGGCACACCCACAGGCCATGGTGGGTCTAGAAGGGTCTTCAAACTTCTGTAGACTCCTCTTAATGTCCTCAATATCGCTCTGATACCACTTGACATAGGATTAAGGACGGAGTCTAGGTGAACTTAGGAGCTAGAATTACTCAAAATATAAATCCGAAATTCTGGACAGAAAAGTCGTCTTCACAAGAAACGACGTCGACGAAAAACTAGCCGTTGGAATGTCGCGAAAGTCGGATATGTTGTAGCTTGTAATCTTAGCTACCGTTTTCAATTTAAATCACGTCGATTAATAGAGTAATCGCGACGCTATTTCTTTCGACGCACTGGGGGGTAAGCTGTAGGATGAGAACTTAACTCAATCTCAAAAGTTCAATCAAAGTTCAAGAATCTCACAAGGAATTAGAGGAGCAAGAGAAAGGTTGGGATGGAAGAGAGGGATGAGAGGGAATGTCCTAAGAGAGTCCCCAACCAAGGAAACCCCATAAGCACAAAGATTCCTCCCCCATAGGAACCCCAACTTTGACATTTGTCCCTTCCCAACCAATCCAACCAAGTTGGCCACCCTTGCCAACCTAGCTTGGTTGTTCCCAACCAATTTGCAGCTGCTACAGTAGAGTGACGAATTTCCCCAACCCTCAAAGGTCCCATCTCCATAGTGAGTCACCCCACAACTTCACTTTGTAACCGTCGCAATTGTAACGCAAGCTCATGAACTTTGAATCTTCATAGCTTTCGCGTTCTTGCTCCGATTGAAGTGATTCTCGTTGCGTCGGAAAGATCTTCTCAAGATTTATCATCACAAATACCTGCTCAAACAAAAATAACACAGAACACATTCCCAAACTCCATAACAGACCACACATAAATGCTTGCACACATTCAAACCACACATGCAATTTGAAAAACATGGGATGGGAGGCAGACAGAATGTGATAGCATATGATGACATCACACAACAATCTCCCCCTTTGGCTGCCAACCATCAACCACCATACCAACATCTCAAGCATGCATACTCAATGCACACTCATCCCAGCGAGCTTCATGCTCTTCCAATGATCCGCCTCCGCGAGACGCTTAGTGAAAATATCTGCTGCTTGCTGATGGGTCTTCACTATCTCCAGCCGCACCTCCTTATCAAGGAGTCTCCTCACCCAATGCCACTTAGGCCTTATGTGTTTTGTCAGCCCATGCAGACAAGCATTCTTGGACAGCTTCACTACAGACTCATCGTCACAGAACACAACTGTCGGCTCCTCCTGACCAATTCCCAACTCCTCCAACAAGCGCCTCAGCCACACCACTTCCTTGGCCCCATGATGTAAGGCCATATACTCAGTCTCACATGAGGACAATCCCATCTCATTCTATTTCTTGCTACGCCAGCTTACAGCACCACCTCCTAGCAAGCACACATAACCCCCAATGCTGGTGCCATCCGCTTTCACTAAGTTGAAGCTAGCATCAGTACCTTGGGTTGAGGAATTGCAGCCCTATAGCACAATGCAATCTCATCTTCCTCAATCTGCTCAACCACACTCCCAGCCTGCACCACATTCGGCTTGCCTCTTCCCCCATAGGTCAGCCTCACCGGAGGGCGCACATCCCTCCTAGGTCGCTCAGGCGGGTGTGGAACTCGAGGTGGAGACTCATGCTGATGCTGCTGCTGCTCCACTTCAGCTGCTCCCCCTTCCTCAGTCACCCCAGAAATCTCCTCCTCAGACACAGCAACCTCAACCTGTCTTGAAGGCCGCTGCACCTCATCTGCCTCCACAATGAGCAGTGTACATGGAAGCTTCTGTTGCTTCTGCTTCCATTCCTTGTAGTACAGGGACTCAAGAAACTTCACATCCCTTGACACTGTCAGCTTCTGGGTGGTCAAGTCCCATAGCAGCCACCCTTTGTGATCTTTTGCAATCCCCAAGTGCACACCCCATCTTCCAGAAGCCTCCGACTTCCCCCTTTTCTCCTTAGGCACATGAAATACCACCATGCACCCAAATGCCCTCAGCATGTTCACAGCTGGAGCACTCCCATACCACTTGGTATATGGGATCCACTCCTTATCCCCAACTGTAGCCAGCACCCTGTTCTTCACAAGGGCGACCTGCCTCAGTGCAGACACCCAAAACGGATCAGGCAACCCTGCACGCCCAAGGAGAGTGCGTGCCCCCTCCTGCAGGGTCCTGTTGAACCTCTCAGCGACGCCATTCTGCTGCGGGTTGTAGGGCAGTGTCAGTTGATGTTGGATCCCCTTCCTCTTCAAATCCCCCTCAAAATCAGCTCCAGTGAACTCCCCACCATTGTCACTGCGGATCACCTTCACCTTGTGTCCGCATGCCCTCTGAGCTCTAGGCATCCACTCCTTAAGGACAGCCGCTGCCACCTCCCCCTTGCTCTTCAAAGGGTAAACCCACACTGCCCGAGTGTGGTCATCCACAATTGTCAAGAAATAGCGGCTGCCTGAGAGGGAAGGGGCTCTTGTGGGCCCCACCACATCCATGTGCACAAGTGCAAGCGGGGACTTGGCTGGTCCTGTAGTGCTGTTGAAGGGGAACTTGAAGAACTTGGTCTCCAAGCATGTAGGGCAGCTCCCAATCTCCTTCACTCCCCCTTTCACCTCCAAGCCCTTCAGGCTCCCATCCTTCACCAACTTCTGCAGCATAGGGAAGTTCACATGACACAGCCTCTCATGCCATGTCTCCCAATCGGCCTCACCACTCCTTGATGAAGCCTTAGCCCATGTCGCACTCGCATCCACAGCCGCAAGCACCTCGCCATCTGTCTGCTGCTGCTGCACTTTCTTGACTGCTTCCAGGACCCCATCAGTTGGTGCAGTTGCATCTCCTCCAGCTGATGCCTTTGCCGCTGTTGCCGTTGCTGCTGTTGAAGTCTTCCCACTCCAAGGGATGATGGGCAGCTGCCACAGATCCTTGATGCAGCTGGTCTCCTCTTCGAGAATCCACAACACCTTCTTCCCAAGCTTAGCACGATAGTTGGTTGGTCCAAAGGTCACTTCGGCCTTGCTCTTCTGCAGTCGCCGCACAGAGAGAAGGTTAGCAGACAAACCTTCAATCAGCAGAACATTCCCAAGCCCCACAAGCTCCCCATTAGCTCCCTTAACCTTGGCATTCCCAACACCAATCACAGGGAGCAAAGCACCTGACGCTGCTGCCACATACTTAATCTTCCCAAGGGGTTTTACCTCATCAAGCAAATCTGCCCGTGGGGTCATGTGACTGGTGCAACCTGAATCAATCACCCAGTGCGTGAGAGGGTGCATCACAACCTTTCCCACAGATCCCACATCACCCTCATGCCCATGCACATCCTCAACCGTGAGAAACATCCCAGGATAGGTATTACCTTGTGCACTTGAGCCTTGTGCACCTGAGCCTTGCACAGCGCCACCTTGTGTGCGTTCACCACTGGGCGGCTTCATACCTGGAGGTGCCCATCCCTCCGGCCTGCTGAAGCACTTGAACCAAGGATGCCCGACCTTCTTGCAGTACCAGCAGGTGCCCTCCATTCTGGTACTCCCCCTGCCACTAGAGCTCCCATGCCCCTCATTATAGTCACCTCGGCCTCTACCTCTGCCAAAGCTCCTCCCACGGCCTCGGCCTCTCCAACCCCCTCTTCCTCTGCCGCGCCCTGCAGCTCCATACCCCTCAGTAGTCTTGGTGGAAGCACCACCTCCCACATGGCGTCTACGGAAGTCCTCCTACAGAATCTGCTGCCTTAGCCACTCAGGTGTCCATTGATCTTGCTGAGAGTTGAGGGTGGGGATGAGGTTGTCCCAAGAGTTGTCCAACACCGAGATGATCTTGGTGCACTGCTGCAGCTGAGATACACTGCTGCCCGCTGCTGCCATCCTTGCATAGGTGTCCTTGATCTTGTCAAAGACCGGCTTCACATCGTCCCCTTGTCGCATGGAGATGGCAGCAAGTTCCTTCTCGAGCACGATCACCATTGGGAGAGTGTTGGGCCGAATCACATCGCGTAGTAGTTTCCACGCCCTTGGACCCGAATCATCCGCTTCCACAAGATCCTTGATGTGCTCGAACATCTCCTTGTTGACCGATTGAAGGATGAGGTCGAAAAGCACCGCGTTTTTCTCAATCCACCGTTCACGTGCTTCGCCTTCTTCCGGCATCTTCTCCTCCCCAACAGCAATCTTCAGTAGCTTGTAGCGTTTGAAGGCACTCCTCATCCGCCCGCTCCATTCCTCATAGTTGGAGCCATCCAAAGCTTCAACTTTTGATGGCGGTGGCTCACTTGTCTTCTCAGGTATAGCTCCTCTTCCATTAGTATCTCCTCCTCTCTCATTCATCTTCTCCTTGAGAAATGACGAATTTCAGCTCCCCTTTGCTGTCCACACTCAGCTCCCTCGATATTTTCACAAGTGTCGGCGTCCACGAAATTTCGGCAGAGTTTCCCCTTAGCGGAAGACACATCCAACCTTTAGAACACCACTTAGGCACACCCACAGGCCATGGTGGGTCTAGAAGGGTCTTCAAACTTCTGTAGACTCCTCTTAATGTCCTCAATATCGCTCTGATACCACTTGACATAGGATTAAGGACGGAGTCTAGGTGAACTTAGGAGCTAGAATTACTCAAAATATAAATCCGAAATTCTGGACAGAAAAGTCGTCTTCACAAGAAACGACGTCGACGAAAAACTAGCCGCTGGAATGTCGCGAAAATCAGATATGTTGTAGCTTGTAATCTTAGCTACCGTTTTCAATTTAAATCACGTCGATTAATAGAGTAATCGCGACGCTATTTCTTTTGACGCACTGGGGGGTAAGCTGTAGGATGAGAACTTAACTCAATCTCAAAAGTTCAATCAAAGTTCAAGAATCTCACAAGGAATTAGAGGAGCAAGAGAAAGGTTGGGATGGAAGAGAGGGATGAGAGGGAATGTCCTAAGAGAGTCCCCAACCAAGGAAACCCCATAAGCACAAAGATTCCCCCCCCATAGGAACCCCAACTTTGACATTTGTCCCTTCCCAACCAATCCAACCAAGTTGGCCACCCTTGCCAACCTAGCTTGGTTGTTCCCAACCAATTTGCAGCTGCTACAGTAGAGTGACGAATTTCCCCAACCCTCAAAGGTCCCATCTCCATAGTGAGTCACCCCACAACTTCACTTTGTAACCGTCGCAATTGTAACGCAAGCTCATGAACGTTGAATCTTCATAGCTTTCACGTTCTTGCTCCGATTGAAGTGATTCTCGTTGCGTCGGAAAGATCTTCTCAAGATCTATCATCACAAATACTTGCTCAAACAAAAATAACACAGAACACATTCCCAAACTCCATAACAGACCACACATAAATGCTTGCACACATTCAAACCACACATGCAATTTGAAAAACATGGGATGGGAGGCAGACAGAATGTGATAGCATATGATGACATCACACAACAATCTCCCCCTTTGGCTGCCAACCATCAACCACCATACCAACATCTCAAGCATGCATACTCAATGCACACTCATCCCAGCGAGCTTCATGCTCTTCCAATGATCCGCCTCCGCGAGACGCTTAGTGAAAATATCTGCTGCTTGCTGATGGGTCTTCACTATCTCCAGCCGCACCTCCTTATCAAGGAGTCTCCTCACCCAATGCCACTTAGGCCTTATGTGTTTTGTCAGCCCATGCAGACAAGCATTCTTGGCCAGCTCCACTTCAGACTCATCGTCACAGAACACAACTGTCGGCTCCTCCTGACCAACTCCCAACTCCTCCAACAAGCGCCTCAGCCACACCACTTCCTTGGCCCTATGATGTAAGGCCATATACTCAGTCTCACATGAGGACAATCCCACCTCATTCTATTTCTTGCTACGCCAGCTTACAGCACCACCTCCTAGCAAGCACACATAACCCCCAATGCTGGTGCCATCCGCTTTCACTAAGTTGAAGCTAGCATCAGTACCTTGGGTTGAGGAATTGCAGCCCTATAGCACAATGCAATCTCATCTTCCTCAATCTGCTCAACCACACTCCCAGCCTGCACCACATTCGGCTTGCCTCTTCCCCCATAGGTCAGCCTCACCGGAGGGCGCACATCCCTCCTAGGTCGCTCAGGCGGGTGTGGAACTCGAGGTGGAGACTCATGCTGATGCTGCTGCTGCTCCACTTCAGCTGCTCCCCCTTCCTCAGTCACCCCAGACATTTCCTCCTCAGACACAGCAACCTCAACCTGTCTTGAAGGCCACTGCACCTCATCTGCCTCCACAATGAGCGGTGTAGATGGAAGCTTCTGTTGCTTCTGCTTCCATTCCTTATAGTACAGGGACTCAAGAAACTTCACATCCCTTGACACTATGGTCAAGTCCCATAGCAGCCACCCCTTGTACCAGAAATGGGCTAGGTACCAGAAATGCAGTTATGAAGTTTGCTCTCTTTGATTGGAACTATTTGTCCGGATGTACCCTTTGTAGATCTTTTGGGATATGAGTTAGATCCAATGTACTATGCTGGATTTTTGTGCCAAGAACACATCCACTATGTGCCCCTCCCAAATCGTACCACCATTGAACATTAAGGCTTAATGTATAGTGGTCTGAAAGCATAGAATCCCAAATTAATACAAAACATACGGACAATTGTTTCCGTCACTGTATAACGTGAGAATACAAGGTTGCTATTGCAATGTAGGCACGAGGTTATTTAGGAGTTGGCATGCTAGGGCGATAACCTCAGAACGTGGGTAGGTTCGGCAATGTGGTGACAGTGACGGACGCGACTCAGGAAAGGGTTGGGCCGACAAATGAGGCCGAACGTGACGATTCGAGGAGTTCGGGTGTACTCACTAGCGTACGAATCAGTAAGGAATGGAAATTCCTTACAAATGCTGACAAATTTAGCCAATTATGCTAAGAGTGTAACTTCGTAATCGAGTTGCAAGTTGCCAATTTGTAGTGTACTGAATCGAGTTGCAAGTGTGTAACTTTGTAATCAGACAATTAATGTGCTTACAAATAGAAAACCCTATTATGGATACATATATTATACATTCCCTTGCGAAACAGCTTGGCGCTGATTACACGCGTATAGATAACTGTGTAAATCATAAATGGATTAGCAACATTGGTCGATGTTTTAATTAGTATGCTGCTATACCACGCTTGTGACGGATAAGAAGTGGGTCAAAGGACGATCAGAAGAGAAGTCGATGAGCTCAACGAAAAGTGGAAAGACAGCTGGAGCTGTTAAAATTATATAAGTTATAATTTAATATAGGCTTCGTAGGTTGTTACTGAACCTTTCTGTAGAGGGTACAAACCCCTTCTTGTACTCCTCTCTCTTCCTAATCAAACCCCTTTCTTCTCGACATTCTCTCCCTTCCTAGATCCGTTTTCCTCACGCCATTCCATGGCGGCCTTCTTGCTAGTATCCTAGCCAACCTAGCCTCCTAAGTTTAAGAACCTTGAGTCCTAAGTTTCTAAGATGGTATCAGAGCCGGTCGTGTCCACCGGACCCTCTCCCTACGTTCCCGTTGCGTACTCCTACTGAATTCGCAGCCTTCGCGGTTTTCTGCCTGCCTGCCGTCGCGGCACTAAGATGTCGCGACGGCCCCTTGTTGCCTGCCGTCGCGGCGCCAGGATGTCGCGACGGCCCCTTGTTGCCTGCCGTCGCGGCACCAAGATGTCGCGACGGCCCCTCGTTGCCTACCGTCGCGGCGCCAAGGTGTCGCGACGGCCCCTTGGTGCAGCCGTCGCCCGTCCGCCTCGCCGCTGCGACATTGACGGTGCGCTGTGGCGGCGTCTGCGGCAGCCGATGGCATCGTCGGGCTGCGGCCGGCCGAGCGACGTCTGTGGCGTCGCCGGGCCTGCCGCCCGCTCGCCAGCTACGGGCGTCCCTCTGGACGCCGTCCTCCCGCCAGTAAGCGCCGCGCCACTTATGGCGCGTCGCTGAAGACTCGCCTCGCCCCGCCCCCTCCCCTCCCCTCCCCCCCCCACCTGCACCTGCTTCCCCTGCATCCCCCCCTTTCTTGCTGCAGCCGATGACTGCCTTATGAGGGACCTCTCCACCGCCGAGGAGACATGACATGCCGCCGAGAGGGCGGGGGCCGCCGCACCAGCCTCTGTCGTTCGAGCCGCCGGCGTCGCCGCTGTTGCCGCAGGCCTGGAGCCGCCGCACACCGCCGCCGCCGCTGCTGTCGTCACTGTCGCTGCTGCCGCCATTGCCGTCTAAAGGGGCCGTGAGACCTACCCTCTTCCGGAGTCGTTGCGGCTCCTGCTGGGAATGGGGGTGCCGGGCTAGGGGGTGTGGGCGTGGGTGTGGGTGTGGGGGTGTGCGTGGGCTTGACACTACCAAGCCTAGGGGGTGTGTTAAAATTATATAAGTTATAATTTAATATAGGCTTGGTAGGTTGTTACTGAACCTTTCTGTAGAGGGTACAAACCCCTTCTTGTACTCCTCTCTCTTCCTAATAAAACCCCTTTCTTCTCGACATTCTCTCCCTTCCTAGATCCGTTTTCCTCACGCCATTCCATGGCGGCCTTCTTGCTAGTATCCTAGCCAACCTAGCCTCCTAAGTTTGAGAACCTTGAGTCCTAAGTTTCTAAGAGGAGCATGCGAAGATGAAGTAACAGACGACGAGGAATCGTCCAATGCTCACTGTTCTTATCCCCGTGGGCTGCTATTCGATCCCTGGACCCAACAAACGCCGCAAGAGCGCCGCATTCGATACTCGCATGGACGCTGCCATCTGTTACTCGCACGTGGCGGGGAAGCAGTCCATCCTGGCCATGGTTCTTCCCGCGCCTTTGAGTCGACTCATAAGGCACCCCTTGATTCGACTGAAATTCTTGCTTGCATGCGACGCGGTTGTCCATCCTGACCGCAGTTCTCCCCGCGCCGCCCAGGAAGCTGCATTCTGCTGCCGCCGCAAAGTTCAGAACGAGATCCGCTTCGACGCGGCGCTTGCGGTGGCGCACCCGCCGCTGCCGCCGCAGTTGCGGCGCTTCCGCGGCGTCGGAGGCGGGAACGTCGCCGGATGCGGCGACAGCTGGTACTCGCTGCCACGTGGCGTGCTCTGCACGCAGGTGCCACCCTCGGCTGACGCGCTTCGTTCACCGCTTGCTTGGGTCTTCACTAATGGGAACGCTGTGTCACATGTGATTGGCGCAATCACTACTAATCCTGCGGCATTGCGGCGGTCAGGCTGCTGGTTGCCAGCGCGCGCGGACGCTGTAGTAGCAGATCCGGAGGTAGAATAATACTCGTCCCCCCGAGTCACCGCGGCGGCCATTGCGCCGCCACTGGTGGTGACAGCTGGATCGGTTGGCTCGCGAACGCCACACACTAGAGGCATCTCTGCTGCTTCTGACGCAAGGACGGTCCTTGTCCCCGTGGACGCAACAGGGCCTTTTAGTGAAGGACTCCTTAATAAGAACTTCTTTTCAAATTCATGACTTGAGATTCACCCTGCGGTTAATAATGTGGCTACTAAGGAAAGTCGGGGCCGCAATTTGCGAGCCAAGGGCTTTGAAAGAAACCTCGCGAGGGAGGAACGCTCGGCGTGAACAATGGAGCCAATTCGCGGGCCGCCTTGATGCTAACTCGAGAATGCCGTGAACGACTCGTTGGTTTGTATGTACTCGAGTAGTACTCGAGTCTGAATGAACGACTGCGGAAGGGTGTCACATGCGAGAAGGTACAATATGGGTGAGGCAACGAAGGCGAGTGAGATGATGGGTGGAGAGGAGAGGAGAGACAACGTGCTAAGAAAATGTGGCGTAGATACTGTATTAGGGGCTAGTTTTTGGAGGAAGCGTGTTTGCGGGCTGGACGCGCAACAGCGGGATGGGCAATTTGGTTGGAGGCACAGGCTTTGGCGTGTGTGGTCATTTGAGCAAGAGGAGCTCGAGCTTGCCGCGACAGAACACGGAAAGAGTGGGCCAGCGAGCGAGTGGGTGAGTGAGTGAGTGATTGAAATGGGCGAACGAGTGATGATGGGTGATGTGGTGAGGATTTGTCGCTGGTTTGGGCGTAGGGGGTACTCTAAGGGTGTGTGTCTTACAGTTCCGGAACCCGGCAAGTTCCGAAACTTGGGTTGGTTACACATGTCGCAGATCATTTCGATGAGATTTCGTGAATTCCTCCCGGGGCATTTTTTTTTTAGAATTCCGGAACTAGTCCCGGGATTTCCAGAAGCGGAACTGTAAGACACACACCCTAAGTATTGACAAAGTGGGATGTCGACAAATGTCGTCGACATCCGACAACATCCAAGGTAGTGTCAGTACGATTTAGTTTGGTTTTAAAAGGGTATAGAAGATTGCTAAATTGGTGCATCGACATTCGTGACGTCGTCGGATGTCGTTGGGCACTTTCGACACGCTATAGCGAAGGGACTCCTTTGCTTCGGTTCGATGGGAGTGTTGAGGCACGGGGGTGGTTTGGCTTGGGGGAGCACTTGATTTGTCCTTAGTTGCTTGGGCAATGGGCGCTTGGTTGTAAGGCCTAGGGAATTCCGTTAGGGAACGGAATCGGCCCCAGAATCACCTGTTAGCGGACGTAATCATAGGAAACATACCCACCAACAGAAGGATTTGGCGATCACTAGCCTTGGCGACCCCCATCCTCACACAATGACAAAGATTTCCATGGCTAATGGATTCCTAGAGTAGAGTAAGGTGTTTACTCCATTCTTCCTAAGCTCCAGCTACAGAACACCAACTAGGGATTGAAACCTCTACCCTTCGATTCTCAGAATAGGATGAAAAGTGAAGGAAGGGGGCTGAAGTATACAACCCCCCTACAAATGCACTTAGTACGGATGCACTTAGTATAGATTCAGGGGAGAGCAGCCCATTATGTCAAGAAATTAGACAAAACTGAATCTGTCAGGCGGACAGAATCCAGTATATCTAACTCTGTAAGAAACGGGGAATTCATGCCTTGCACCTGCAAGATGGAGTTGTTGCATCAGCGACAGCTAACAGCTGATCAGAGCAGATAGATCGATGCACATTGCACACCAAGCCCTTTGATTTTCCCAGGCACGACAGGCAATGATGGCAGCTAAATATCTTGGCCGCCCTGACTCAAGAGGAACACGGGTGACAAGCAAGTCACGACAACACGACCTAAGCGATGTGAATTATGCTCAACCGAATCCTTTTATCTAAAGTAGCACGTGAATGCGATATTGTCTATGAAATAGAGTAAATCAGCAATTCCACAGCGAACTCCTTCTCCAATTACGTCGTATGAGTCACATGCCATTCTTATGAGGTCAGTGATCGTAGTTATTGGGCTGAGAATAGCCCTAGGATCTTTTCAGAAGGCTAAGTCCTTGTAACAGAGTGCTTGATAGCACAGCGGAAGTCTTGAGTTGAACCCTTGTACTGGTATGTAAGTGATTGATTATAGCAAAGGGATACAAAGTTTATATAATAATACAAGAGAATATGGAGAGTCTAACTGTTTATGCACTTCGAGGGGTACATTCCCTTTGCGACTTAATAAGGGCGACTCGGGTAACCACCCGTACTGTAATATCCGGCCGATTAATTGTCCTTGCTGTCGCGCTGACTTGACTCTTGCAATTCTGACTATTGGGTTGCACGGACAATGATCTGCGACCGTTGCCCTTTCGTTACCTCTGAGAGGTGTCGTCAACCTGCGTCAACCGTCGGTGGTACTATATCAGGGTTTGGCTCGGTGATCCTCGTTGTTGTAGTCTTCGCGTATTTGTACACCCACGCGAGACTCCGGAAATGCCTTAATTTCTTTTATAATTTCCAACACCCTCCTTCATTTCTAGAGTGTCAATGTGGTCGAGGTTGCTGACTTGTTGCAATCCAGTCAGCAGCATGCAGTGCTGGAACTTCGACTTCATCGGCTTCTTGGTCAAGTAGTCGGCTGCCATTTCGGTGGTGGGGCAGTAGACTAATTGGAGACGTCCCTGCTCAATCTCGTCTTTCACGAAATATGTAGCGAAGCGAGATGTGCTTCGTCCTGTTCGCGAATCCGTTTTTGTTGGCGATTTTTATTGCTGATTGGTTGTTGTAGAAGAGAGAGAATTTTGGTAACTCGGCAATCTTCGCTTCTTCGAGCAGCTTGCGCATGTACATTCCTTCCTTCGTGGCTGTGCAGAGAGCGATTAGTTCCTGTTCTCCCGAGTGCCATGAGATAGTGCCGATAGGCTCAAGACGATAGATGTAGCCGGTGCGCGAGCATCTGTTATCCTTGTTGCCAGCGTGGTAGTGGCGTTTTTGTGGTAGGCTGGGCCGATTGTCGGAGTCGAGATGAAGTAGTGGAGCGCGATCGAGTTCCTGTATATTCCCCCCTTTAGGTCGCTTAAGGTACGTAGCGAACTGGCTAGCGGGGTAGGAGAGATCAGGACGACAGGTGTTGGCAGCGGATAGCAGACAGCCCAGCTTCTGCTGATATTCATGCGCCGCAATTGGTGGGCCCTTCTCACCAGCGCAAAAGAGGGCACGCGGCTGCCTCGTATGGCGCGCTGCCCACCTCGAACTTGACCACCTTGTTGACTCCTGCGCAGGTCAACGCGATGCTGACTTTGTTACAGCAACAGGCAACGAGTGTTACGGCTGCAAAAACCGCTCAACCTGCTGCTTCTGCATCTGCTAAAAAGGGACCTGCAAAAAAAGAAAAGGTCGCAAGCGGAATCAAGACGCCATGCCTCGACAAAGACGCCGTCGCCAGTATCCCACCTGCCCCCGTTGTCGACGACGACAGTGACGACTCCGACAATGACGCTGGTGAGGTCCCCAACATCGCTGCAAATTCAATTCCCATGGATCACCTCCCACCCCTCCCGTCCACTAACCCCACCCTCTCGGTGGCGTCCTTCCTCAACGCGGCCGTGCGCGAGCAAGGGGAAGTCCTGGAGGGCCTTCCGGTCTACCTAAAGCACGCGGAGTTCAAGGTGCAGCACGGCGACGCGCCGGGCGGCCTCGAATTCTCGCCGACGCGCTCGCCCTCCTATCGCGGCACTTCGAAGTCCTCCAAGTCGAGGACGCCTCCGACTTCCGCATGGCCAAGCGCTTCAAGCTGTACTAGCAGAAGAGCCTGCTTACCTCCAGGCCCTTCAAACAGGTCGTCGTTGAGGTGGCTGTAATGGATCGCGCCGAGTGTGCTTTTGCTCATGGCAATCGCGGAGGCGGCCGCATGCCCATGCCGTTCGCGCCCAAGCGTGGTCCGCCGCCTACGAGAGAGTTCCGCGGCTTCCGAGGCACTTGCTTCCGCTGTGGCCAGCCGGGGCATGTTGCCAGCGGCTGCCCGGCGAATGGGCATGGTGGCCAAGGACCCGCACCCGTGGTGTAGGGGTCAGGCCGGGTGCTTGCGCAAAGTGGCGCAAGACGCAATGCGCGTAGGCCATTTAAGAGCACCAAAAGAGGTGCAGCAAAAAAAAAAAAAAAAAAAAAAAAAAAAAAAAAACAGCAAGAGGCGACGAAATCGTCTTAGGGTTGCGGAGGATTTCATAATTTTCAATAGAATACTTTCGATAAAGATGTTTTTCTATAACACATTTATTTCTCATTCTATTATGCTGTTCAAAGAAAAATGTATGACATATAGCTAAAAGAGCAAGTGGCAATATGAGTAAATAATTCTGAAACTGTAATACAATGTCGAAGTCAATTTGAATTGTATGTCATAGGTTGAAGTATAACAGTAAAGTTTCTGTTGAATTCGTTTCTGTTACACATAAACGCTTTGTGCTGACATGAAATGGGTTAGCTTTGTGTTCATGAGAACGTACCCCTTCTAGGGTTTGCTTGTGCCACCCTAGCTGTTGCTGTGAGTGCTCGGCATTTTCTACATTGTTCAAGTCTGTCCCTTACTCTTTCCTGTCCCTAGTTTCTATTGCACCTAATTCCAACCATGGCTAGTTGCTAGCTAAGCCAGGCTATCTACTTCCTAGTCAGCATGCTTCTAGCGTGCATCCTGTAGGGAAGCATTAGCGCTGGCGCCTAACCTGATGGCACCTAGCACGCTGGCGCGTAGCACCCTGGCGTCGTGCGCGCTGGCGCATAGCGCGCTGGCGCATAGCGCGCTAGCGCTGTGCGCGATGGCGCGTTGCGCGCTGGCACCGTGCGCGCTGGCGTTGTGCGCGCTGGCGCCGTGCGCGCTGGCGCGATGCGGGCAGGCGCCGTGCGCGCTGGCGCGATGCGCGCAGACGCCATGCGCGCTCGTGCGATGCGCGCAGGCGCCGTGAGTGCTGGCGCGTTGCTCGCTGGCACCGTGCACGCTGGCGCGATGCGGGCAGGCGCCGTGCACACTGGCGCGATGCGCGCAGGCGCCGTGCCCGCTGGTGCGATGCGCGAAGGCGCCGTGCGCGTTGGCGCCAAGCGCACTGGCGGGTACGGCACTGGCGCCGTGCGCACTGGCGCGTTGCGCGTAGGCGCGATCCGTACTGGAGCCGTGCGCGCTGGATGCTATTGAATGTGCAGAGCAGAGAGGAGGAAGAGAGGGGATGGAGAATAAAGAGTACAAATGGTACTAAGATAAGAGCATACCCATTTGCTTGCGTTTGTCTTCTCTTTCCTTTGTTTTGCAGTCCATATGTTTCTTTCATTCGCTCACTCCATTTGACAACTTAGCATTCTTATAGCAGTTATCTTTCTAGCATTGCCCTCACTTCCGTTCTTGATCACTCTCATTTTGTCACGCCTCTCTCTCTACTGCTGCTTGTCTCTCTTTCTACCTCTCTCTCTCTCCCTGCCCCTCCCTCTCTCTCACACTCTCTCTCACTCTTTTTCTCTCTCTCGTCTGTTTTTCCTCTCTCTCTCGTTCTCCCTCTCACTCTCTCTCGTTCTCTCTCTCTCTCTCTCTCTCTCTCTCTCTCTCTCTCTCTCTCTCTCTCTCACTCTCTCTCTCTCTCTCTCCCTCTCTCTCATTCTCTCATTCTCTCTCTCCTCTCTCTCCCTCCCTCCCTCCGTCCCTCTTTCCCTCTCTTTTTCCCTCTGTCTCCCTCTATCTCCCTCTCTCTCTGTCATTCTCCTCTCTCTCCCCTTCTCGCTCTCTTCTCTCTCTCTCTCTCTCTCTCTCTCTCTCTCTCTCTCTCTCTCTCTCTCTCTCTCTCTCTCGCTCTCTCTCGCTCTCTCTCGCTCTCTCCCTCTCTCTCTCCATCTCTCTTTCTCTCTCCCTCTCTCTTCCCCCCATCCACACACTCTTTTCTCTCCCCCCCCCTTCCCCCCCTTTTCTCTCTCTCTCTCTCAACCTCTCTCGTCCCATTTTTTACCTCTATCTGATGTGTCGTTCCTTTCTTCAATCCTCATTCCCATTTCCCGAGTTCTACCATGCATTCTGTTTTTCAACTAAACTTGTGTTCTTTTCATGTTCTCTCTCTTTTTTTGCCACGTATGTTGGGTGGTTCAGGAATGCCATGGGAAGAGATTTCTGGTTTACGGCTGTGGTTTTTATTTACAGTAGACTGTCATATAATAGGTTTCAATTGCTTTCTGTTTGTTCCTTTCTTTCTTTTGATGAATTTTGGAGTCCGTGTGTTTCCTTTGCTTTACATTGTTGCCTTTCTCTATTCTGCTCCTGCTTGCTTGATACAGCGGTGGTGCACTTTGTGTATGAAGGAAATTGGTTTGAACTGATCGTCTCGAGTAAGGTTCTTTGACTTTCCACCTTGAGTGCTGCAGTCACTTGAACTGGAGATGATAAGTGCAATCCATTTTCTTGTAGTGACTAATGTTAAAATTATATAAGTTATAATTTATATAGGCTTGGTAGGTTGTTACTGAACCTTTCTGTAGGGGGTACAAACCCCTCCTTGTACTCCCCTCTCTTCTAATCCAACATCTTTTCCTCTCCTCAACTTTCCTAGCACCTAAAACCTCTCGCCATTCTCATGGCTCCTCCTAGCTCCTAGCTAAACCTTGTGCCATTCTATGGCTTCCTAGCTAAGCTAGTTTCTGACATGGTATCAGAGCAGTTCGTTCCGTGTGGGCCTGCTCCTCGCGTTTCCGCTGCGTGCTCGTTTCTCTCTCTATCTCGCGCTGCCATGGCGGCCGCGTCAAGCTCCTGTGGCCGCGTCGTCGTGCCGCGGCGCCGCTGTCGACGTCCATGGCGCCCGCGTCCAGCTGCTGTGGCCGCGCCGTCGTGCCGCAGCTCCGCCGTCGCGTCAAGTTGCTGTCGCGACGTGACGGCGCCGTCACGCTGCCGCGGCGTCTACGCGACAGCGCGCAGTCGGCGTACCAGCGACGTCGTGCTGCCGTCGCAGCGTCGACGCCCCGCTGCGGCATCGACGCCGCTCCATGACGGCGTCGTCGGGCTGCAGCCGGCCGCGTGACGCTTGTGGCGCCGCTAGACCGGCCGCCCGCATGTCAGCCTGTGGCGCCGCCCCCCCCCCCCCACCCCCCCTCCTTCCCCTGCGCCCTCTTCCATTCCGCAGACGACGGCTGACTCCCGCCGGCCGTCCCACAGTCGCGGGGCCAGGCCACGTCACCGAGAGGTGCGGGTGCCGCCGCCGCTGCCGCTGTTGTCGAAGCCGCCGCCGCCGCCGCTGTCGCCGCTTGCGTCGGGGCCACGCAGCCGCACGCCGCCGCCGCCGCCGCTGTCGACACTGCCGCCGCTGCCGCCGTCGCCGCCGCAGCCCCTGCGGTCGACGTCGCCGCCTCACGCGCCGTGGGGTCGACCGACCTAGAGTCGCTGTCACTGTGGCTGGAATGGGGGTGCTAGGTTAGGGGGTGTGGGTGTGTGTGGGTGTGTGACTACCAAGCCTAGGGGGTGTGTTAAAATTATATAAGTTATAATTTATATAGGCTTGGTAGGTTGTTACTGAACCTTTCTGTAGGGGGTACAAACCCCTCCTTGTACTCCCCTCTCTTCTAATCCAACATCTTTTCCTCTCCTCAACTTTCCTAGCACCTAAAACCTCTCGCCATTCTCATGGCTCCTCCTAGCTCCTAGCTAAACCTTGTGCCATTCTATGGCTTCCTAGCTAAGCTAGTTTCTGACAACTAAGTGCACTGCCTAAAACAATGTGTCATTTGTCTACTAGGCTTTCGACTTCCCCCACTTAGCTGGGGAAGCGATATGAATAATTTTTTTAGGAATAAAAAAAATTAACAGATTGTGATTCGATTTGAAGAGAAGTTTTGCTGTAAAGGAGACAAGCTCCTTTACATTCTCGCAGGACCGATGGACCTGCCACCAGGGCTGACGTTTCAAAAAAACCCCCCCTGAGCTGTCGAATAAAAAAAAACGTTTACCCTGAGGGCTCAGGTTTCAAAAATTGCCTACCCTGATTTGTAAGGGTTCAGAAATCTGGAACCCTGAAAATCCCAGGGTTCACCGAGCGCGTTCAGGGTTGCCTTCAACACGAGGGGGGAATTAAAAATGGGGGGAAAAAGGGGAGGGAATCAAACCGAGGGGAGGGGGAGAGCGAAACGGAGGGGAAGGGGGAGGATGGAAACATAGGGGAAGAGAAGAAGCGAAACGGGGAGGGAAAAAGTGGGGGTTGGGGGGTGGGGGAAGTTCGAAATACAGTCGAGGAATGGGAGAAGCGAAACGGAGGGGAAGGGGGGATCGAAACGGAGGGGAAGGGGGGATCAAAACGGAGGGGAAGGGGGGATCGAAACGGAGGGGAAGGGGGGATCGAAACGGAGGGGAAGGGGGGATCAAAACGGAGGGGAAGGGGGGATCGAAACGGAGGGGAAGGGGGGATCGAAACGGAGGGGAAGGGGGGATCGAAACGGAGGGGAAGGGGGGATCGAAACGGAGGGGAAGGGGGGATCGAAACGGAGGGGAAGGGGGGATCGAAACGGAGGGGAAGGGGGGATCGAAACGGAGGGGAGGGGGAGTCGAAACCAAGGAAGAAAGGGGGAGGGAATCAAAACCAAGATGCGAGGGGCGAAACGGAGGGGAGATGGGGGAATCGAAATGGAGGGGAGGGGGGAAACGAAACGGAGGGGGAGTGGGGGGAGCGAAAATGGAGGGGAGGGAGGAATCGAAGTGGATTGGAGGGGGGAAGCTGGGTAATAGGGCGGTCGGAGAAAATTCGCGCCCTAGCAGCGCCCCGGCTGGGAGATCTTGGACGTTGATCAACGTGACCATCTAACGGTTTAAGTATGTCGAAACGATCGCAATCGATCTTGACCGTTACATTTTCATAGACTTAGCTAATTTTTGTGGGTTGTTGTTAGTGTGTAGGGGGGATGTCTGTACGACACATGACTTAGCCGATTTTTGTGGGTTGCTTGGTGTGTGAGGGAATGTTTGAGGACTTCACCAATTTTTGTAGGTTGTTGCGTGTGGGGGGGAATGTCTCTGGAGATTGGGGACTTCGCCTAAATTTCCGCATTGTGAGCCACATGGATGTCGCACTCAGGGTTCGTACGCGTTACTCCCTGAAAACTCAGTGTTGGGATAACGCAAACCCTGAAATTCTCAGTGTTCACAGACATACAACCCTGAAGAGGTTAGGGTTCCAAAAAGCCCAACCCTGAAAATTAAGGGTTGGCCAAAAAAATACCCTGTGAAATCAGGGAATCAGGGTAAAATACCCTGATAACGACAGGCCTGCCTGCCACCTAGTTGTTACAATTATATAAGTTATAATTTAATATAGGCTTGGTAGGTGTTAAAGTGAGAACGAATAATGACTAGAAGTGGAAACCTAGAACAAATACTAGTTGGTTGTACTCACTAGAAGCATACCTCAGTCTAGCCTATAACTTCTACATAGATAATATGTATAAGTTGACACACCTCCTAGGCTAGACAAGGGGTGAAACTAAACAAGAAGCAAACAGCTCAGGGCGGCACTACTAGTCCAACCACTGAGGCAGGGGTCTGGCGACCAGTCAGCAAGAATACAACCAAAACTGAAGCAAGCCAGGGTGGCACTACTAGTCCAGCCACTGGAGGTAAGGCCACAAGGCCAGTCTGACAAGCATATATAATAGAGAGTACACAATCAGAATCCTAACAGGGGAGCAGCTACAGGAACTAGACCAAGCTGTACACAGTGCCGCTGATGATCTTTAGGCGCAAGCGCCTTAGTAAAGATATCAGCTGTGTTGGCACCTGAGGCCAAGTGAACTACACGGGCCTGGCGGCGCTGCTGTAGCTCGCGCAGGAGGAAGTACCGCAGCTGGATATGCTTCGCTCTGCCCTCAAGCCGAGGCTCCTGACACAGGAGGATCATGGCCCTGTTGTCAGCGTACAGGACCGGGGCAGAGCTAGGCCGCTCACCTAAGTCTGTGAGCAAGAAGGTCAGCCAGCGGAGCTCCTGTGCCGCCATGGCACCAGCGTAGATCTCAGCCTCACAGCTAGACTGAGCCACAGACGACGAGCGAGTGGATCTCCAAGAGATAGCACCCGAACCAAGGCTGAAACAGTAGCCCTGCGACGACCTGAGCGTCTCAGCGTCGTCTGCCCAAGAAGCGTCTGTGTGCCCAGTAAGGACCACTGGCCTGCGTCCTCCTAGCACTAACCCCATGCCTGATGTACTAGCAAGATAACGCAAAACCCTCTTAGCGGCAGACCAGTGCTGAGGTCGGTGTGTGCCTGTAGCCACAAAGCGAGCCAGGATGCTGAGAGGGTATGCGAGACCTGGGCGAGTGCAAGTCATCAGGTACATGAGGCAACCCACCAGCTCTGCGTAGGGGCCACTGGGCTCTACTGGCTCCTCAGGAACGGGAGCAGAGAGCCCATGGTCTACGGGTAGAGGTGTGGGCTGTGCGGAGGAGAACTGAAGACCGAACCTCTGAAGGACCTGACGCACCAAGTGTGACTGGGTCAGAGTGATGGTGCGTGCTGCTCTGTCCCTAGAGATCTGCAAGCCAAGATAGCGACGCAGCTCTCCAAGGTCAGTGCAGGTGTGTCTCTTCAGCAGCTCAGCCTTCACAGAGGCCAGTGCGTCCCTGTCAGGAGTAGCGAAGACCAGGTCGTCTACGTAGACAAGGATGTAGAACGGAGTCTGGCCGGAACGCACAAACAGTGAAGGGTCAGCAGAGGACGGAAAGAACTGCAGGTCTACTAACGTGGCACGTAGCGTGTCGTGCCACTCGCGGGGAGCCTGACGCAGGCCGTAGACCGGGTGCCTGAGAAGCCACTGGGTCCCAGGAGGGAAGGTACCAGTGAAGCCCTGTGGTCGGCGCAGGTAGACCTGCTCGTGTAGGCTGCCCTGAAGAAAGGCAGTAGAGAAGTCGAGGGAGTGAAGCTCGTAGTCACGCTGTGCTGCTACATGTAGCAGCGCCCGAAGAGTGGTCATCTTCGGGGTCGGGGCGAAGGTCTGGAAGAAGTCAACCCCCTCGCGCTGACTGAAACCTCTGGCCACGTAGCGCGCCTTGAAGACAGGCGGCTCTCCAGGGGGGCGCTTCACCTTGAAGAGCCACCGACCATCGACTACGTTCACCCCAGGCGGGGGAACTGCGTCGACGTAAGTGCCGGTGGACCTCCAAGATGCCATCTCCTGCTCCATGGCAGCTATCCACTGAGAGGCCCAAGGTCCCGAGGTGGCCTCAGCGTAGGTGCGAGGGGTCGGGATGTCGAAGGCGTCTGGGTCACCCTCAGGGACTAACAGCATGGAGCAGAGATGGGGAGCAGCCTCGGAAAGGAAAGCCAGCTCGTACTGCCTGTCCTCTAGGACGTCACTGCCAAGGGCAGGAGCACCCCCGACGGACGGAGGACGGGCAGGGTCAGAGACCAGAGCGGTAGCGTAGTCAAGGCGGCGGGTAGAGGCGAAGTCAGCGACAGCAGCGACAAGCGCGTCAAGGCGCGAGACAGGAACAGCAGGGTCGGTAACAAGAGAGGCAAGGACCCGAGG